ATTTAACGTTCTCCTTACGTTTTCCTAAATATTAGAAGTTTCCTCCACTCTTCTATAAAATTGTTCTCCTGTAAATTATAGTTTTTGATTACAACAGAAAAAGCGGTTGTAAGTGCACTCGTTGTCCGGCCTGACTTTATCTTGGCGTTTGAGCCGTCAGAGTGTGAACGTAAAAGACGCCCCACGTTCTGAAGCTGTGCTGATCATGAAGTATATGACATTATTATGTTGACTTGTTCATGTCAAATGCCAAGCTTGACCAGCTTTTCTTACAACACCGCTAGATCCTGCCTCAGAGCCAAACAACGCACCTGAAGCAAGCACCTCATGCGGTCATTTCTTTAACGTCACCCCAATTACCTTAATTGACAGGACCGTCGCTCTTAAACTTCGAGCACATCGGTTCACCTCCAACGGGCGGCCTCTAATTCGCGCTTTTTTGCGTACTTTTCTCTAGCTTGAAGAATGTTTAACCAATCTTTTCTCCCACCATGCAAGCTAAGTTTTTGGGCCATTTTTCTCGTTCAGAGATGGGAGTTAGTTGATTTTTACACGTTTCATTTTGTAGCGATATTTGGTTCACGCATCAGCGCTCGGTTCTCAACTGACATCAGCTGAGTAGACAAATTATGATCAATGCTTCCCACGTATGAATAATGCGCCGAGATGCTCGCTTTCTAGGCGAACAGGTCACTGGCAGTGAAATTAATACGTCGATGCAAGGCTTCCCATACAGCAGACCTTATGACATTGTGGCTCGGTCGTCTGGTCAAACAATCCTGTAAGTTTCAACAACAAATTGGAGCAGATAATGGGAATTTTTCCGTGCGGTTGGTTGCTTCAGATTTTTTACTGCAGCAACATGTTTTTTTATTCGATTATATGGCGGATAATTCAACTTTTGAACTGATCACGCAACTGTTATTTATCTGTTTTCTTTGCTTTGTTGTATGTCGTTTTTTATTAATTTACAAAGCGAATATGAAGCAAATTTTGCAGTTAGAAACAAACTTATTTCCTACATTTTTGCTTGAACCGTTAGCCGTAGTGACATCGGTGTGTCTGTGCGGCAGACGCGGCCGAGTTTTGCCGTCTGATTTCTCTCTTGCGGGGCATTGAGATGAAAGCAGGTCGCTATAGCGTCATGTGTGACCGCCAGGCTTTGTAAGCCTAGCGAATCATCGAGCTACGATTTCATTGTTTTCCTTTATGGAAGTTTATAGAACTCTTGTGTCCAATCGTCTATGCCATGTTAATTTTTTCGGTCTTGTAAAATTATAAGGAAAAAAACACGTTCAATCAATTAGTTTGTGTATACCTAAAGTTCCACGAGCGCATGCATGTATTTTCTCACGAATAGAAAAATTGACATGTAGTTCTTGACCATTCCTGATGAACCGAAAAGCCAAGTGCTAAGAGAGTCATATGGTTGCCTGCATGGATCGCTCCCAGAGAATAACAGGACTGGGACCAATTTAAAGGGGCATGACCAGCTTGTTTTTTTTCCTCGTGAGTTAAAAGCCCCGCTGGCGGCGACGCCGGCGATCATGGTTGTGGTTTCCGGTGCTCTGCGCGGCCGTCGTGCAATCCTCGGCAGTATCTCGTCTTGAGAACCGCTGGTTTCCTTCTCGTTTTCAACGAGGAAGTCGATATTTATTGCATACTTAGCATAATATTTTTTCAATACAAACTCTGATATTGTTCCTGTGATCTGCATGATCGTCAAATAGTTCGAAGCAGTATCTTAGAGCGAGAGCCGGATGTTTTTGCCCTCTTGTGATAAGACTGTGTCGTATCGTGCAGAGTACTGTGCTGAAATAATGTTAATAACAGAGTTAATATCAATATTGTCCCTAGCACATTTTTATAACTTGTTAGCGGATGTATTAATTCACTAACATTCAGTATTTGCCCAGTGCATATTTGGTTTCACTTGAGCCATGTGCATGTGAGTGGAAGCATTCGTTGCTTATTTTGGCGAGTAATTTTCTCGGTATATGACGATGATGTTTACAAACAATTCTAGTCACCGTCGCTCACGTTAACTTGCAATTTTTCTTCATTTTCCTTGCGATGGACCTCTGACTTCCGGCGTTACTGCAAGTAAGCAACTGCTTTCTTGTTCACGTTTGTTAATGGCTTCCGTGGAACAGGTGATCTAAGACCTTGTAATTAGTGCAGCCGACCCTGCCACCGCTCCAGAGGTCGTCGTTCTTCACGCGCCGGAGCTGTCCGTCCGTCCTGCCTGCGGGGACCGGCGAGCGAGCGAGCCTGTTGCTGCGCTCAGCTCAGATTTGATACCATGATTATTCTTGAAATTTGAAAACGAATTAGGAATATTTCTTGTGTATAATTACTTGTATAGATAAGATGGATACGATTCCGATTTAATCTTATTGCCATTGGAAACGTGTGCCGAACGATTTCATGAGAAATTATTCCGCAATAATCCACAGCAACTACTGGTGCTTTAGGTTATTGTAGCCCAGTTTCTGCTAGACACTTTTTGATAATGATAATGCATGCTGCTATAATACATACATCTGATACTGAATTTACTGTACGACGTTACATAGAGAATCCTAAATAATAAAACTTTTTCTTGCGCCGCTGCCACATTTTTGTAGTAGGACTTCGATACGTTTTTATTGAGGAGTCATCCTGTTTCCTCAGGACAGAAATACAAGAGCGTATCAGCTGATGCCTGGATCACTGCCAATCTTCTTAAAAGCTCGATGACCTGAATAACTTGGCGCCGTTATTGGGACAAAGTATATATCAACAGAATCCTGATCTTCTGTTATGATGTAGGGAAAGTTACTGACGACACTTAAGCCTCACGTCTTGTGAGAAGGCAAAAAAATTCATACATGCAATCAACTTATTTAGTATAATTTTCACGAGCAAGCTAAATTTTACTGCGACCTCGAGTTGATGAAAAAATCGGGTTGTAAATTATAGTGGTATTCGTATATGAAACAGCGTATTATCTGAGCACTGAGCTGACTATCTGCAGGAGCACACCTAATAAACTGCAGAGCCATCATCTTGGCGAGAGTTATCATCTTCCATAGGATCAGCATTAAGACTCGCGACCAGTTATTTGTACCCAAAATCGTTCGTTTATGTTGCTGCTATCTTGAGCTCGAATTAATTGGGCAAACAGTTGTTCTTCTCTGGGATTATTTGATTAATAAATGATATGGAATTTAATTTTTCGTACGCGAAATTATTGGCTAAACGTTATGCATTAAAATAAAGTCCGTTGTTTTATCAATTTGTTGTGTGGACGCTTGGCTGTGCATGTGGCAGTGTGGCCGCTTGGCTGTGCATGTGGCGGTGTGGACGCTTGGCTGTGCATGTGGCAGTGTGAACGCTAGGCTGTGCATGTGGCAGTGTGGACGTTTGGCTGTGCATGTGACAGTGTGGACGCTTGGCTGTGCATGTGGCAGTGTGGACGCTTGGCTGTGCATGTGGCAGTGTGGACGCTTGGCTGTGCATGTGGCAGTGTGGACGCTTGGCTGTGCATGTGGCAGTGTGAACGCTAGGCTGTGCATGTGGCAGTGTGGACGCTTGGCTGTGTATGCTGTGCGTACAGCAGTGGGGCCGCCGGGCTAAACTCATATTTTCCATCGTCCTTGCAGCATGAGCTATAAATTTAGGTGCATTTCTAGAAGCAAAAGAGAGCTCTAGAGAGCCACGTGAAACAATTTATAGCGTGCACATGTGCTTGGATCTCGCATGTGCGACGGAAAGCACGCAATACTTGGCGGAAACAGACGTTAGTGCGTGAGAGAAACCGAGTGGCGAACCGCATCATCGGTGTATTTCCAGCGAACAGTGGAGGTTCGTGCCTTGGAAAGCTGCTTTTATGCAATAACTATGCATATTTTAAACTTTTATTACGCGAGACGCGTATTCAAAAAAAAAAAAAAAATAGCACGCTTCAAATTGCGAGGTCGTTTCTCGATTAAATTACTGATTCTAAATTAAATTTCTGGTTACCATTATTCACTGATTCTTCTTTCCTTTGCATGACATGGCGCCGAATATATTCTAGATGATGCCATATTTTACATAGCAAGGCTGAAGTCTGAAGTATTCCATCGTGTCTGTATAGTAGCATGTATTGAATTGCAGAGCTCTCAATATCTCATTCCTGAGACTTCAAATCGTTCAACCGCTGATTAATAAGTACAAGTCAATGTTTTGGGAACGTGTTACGACTATCCAAGCAGCACCTATTCCTTTACTTATTTCGAGTACGCACCCTAATATTTTTGGATCAAACCTTCGTGAACCCTAGAAATTTTTACTCATTTCAGTAGGTTTCATTTTTCGCCAATCGCCGTGTTTGGGTCATCACGAAATCGTGCAATTTTTTTTAAGATCTCTGAGGCGATGGTCATTAGAGGTAAGAGCCGTGACACGGCACTTTATATCACCTCTATCACCGCCGCCAACTTCGCGCGGTCCTGTTTTTCCCAAGGCATTTTAGAGTCGGGCCGCCTCTTGGAGGCAAGCAAGCGTATTCAATTTAGTTATGAACTTTCAGCTACGAAAGATCATCCTAAATTTCATACGCTAATTCGTTCCTTCGGTCGAGCGTTCACTACATTCCCGAGTTAGAATTGTTTAAAAATGTTTGATGACTTGATGTAAGATCCGTAAATATTATTCAGCAATTTTATTTCAGTTGCGCAGATTTGTCAGTACCGTCAACTGGGGTGACTTCGGCCACCACTACAACAAAAACCAATGGCAGCAAAACAAAATAATAAACGTTGGCCAAAGTGACTGGGGTGACTTTGGCTAATGTTTACTATTTTGTTTTGCTGCCATTTGTTTCTGCTGTAGTGGTGGCCTAAGTCACCCCTGGCGGCCGAAGTCACCCCAGTTGTCAGTATAAAATTAAGCATAAGCTGGATGTTATATATTTAGTGTCAAGTGATTTTATTCGCCATGCAAGTTATATTAAAGTGGTTATAATTTTTTTCCAGATTGTTGGCGTGAATGAAGTAAACTGCTTAAAATCATCACTCGAGGTCGCAACGTGAGTCAACTGACAGCTTGAGATATCCAACTTCAACTCGGATGCCTGGAATTCAATCTCAGATTCCACTCAAAATTTTTAGTACAAATCTTCTCGCCTTCTTAACTACGGGTGACCAATGAAAGTGATAATCTAACCTGATAATATATTTTATCCTCTGCGGAATTTACGGGAAAATATCGAGAGATGCATTTCTAATTTCTGAACCCATCTTGTGTATGCTTGAATATGAGCTCGCTGACTTTCTACTCGAGCAGAAGCTCAAGCGGCTGCCTTGCTCCCTCACGAACATCGTTCATGAGTCCCCCGAACTCATGCCACGTGCCACGACCAACGCTCAGCAATGCTCCGTTATATCACAACTTCTCATCAAGACCGGAAGGCAGTAAGCGGATCCTGCATTTGGAGAGAGGGCGTCGTAATTTTCTGAGAGATTCCACAAGGAGGAAAAAATCTTCCTCCTTTCCGCGAACTTCCCTGGCGCCTGTGAGTGAGGAAGGTGTTACTAACGCAGCCTTCTCTGGAGGACCGGAGAGGGTAATTGTTAAAGCTAAAATTGTCGAACCCTTTCGCGTCAAGAGGTTCAGCGAGTCGGGGGCCACTGAAGCGGATTTGTTAACCTTGAGCGAAAGTGACGAAGGTGATCTCAACAATGATGAATTTCCAGTGGCTACGAAACCCACTGTTCTCCACAAGTCTTCGGATGCCAACTATACATCGCGAGAACTCTCGCTCAACGATCTCTGTATAGAAGATTATCGTAACGGAAACGATGAATACGCTAAATTCCTGCCAAGAAACGTGTGCATACGATCTAGATCCTTACCAACAACTAACTCGAGGAACACAAACTCTACAAGTTTCGATGATCAGCCACTAAAAACAGAGCTCAGTTGCAATAATAATTATTTGTCGCCCACTGAAATGACTCTTTCTAGAGGCGATAAGATCAGTCATTGTCCTGAGAAAAGTGCGGTTGGCCGCACTCCACCAAAGCCTGGGAATATGTTCACGAAGCTCACCGGACTCATTGAACCTGCGTATAAAAATACGCGCGAGTCTAAGACCGACGTTTTAAAGGGGATGGAGGAAGCTAAAAATGCTGCTAAGAATGCTGCTTATTATAATGCCTTGAAAATGCTTCGAACGGGAACAATGAATACGAATTATAACCAGTCTGGTAGCATCAATTCTCGTTTTAATTATGATATTAAATCAGCCCCAGCTAAAACAATCGCTTCTGCTGGGAGCTTCAAATCTGAAAGCATGTTTAGTGATCGATACACACACGTATTAACTCCTGAAGAAATGAATGCACGGCGTGAATGGGCAGAAATGCAAAAGCGCAAAGCAAAAATGAGGGAAGATTTTTTTAGAATCCCCTACGAAGAATGCAACCGTGAAGTTATTATGGGCAGACTCGGAGGAAGGTTCAGTAAATCAGAGCCCAAATTGAACACTCTTAAATCCGAAGTGAGGAAGAACCAGATTATAGTAAAAGAGAATTCCAAGCGAGACTCGGCACCAATATGGAAAACCACCGTACGATCGTTGAGCCCCGATTTTTCAAGAAGATATTCTGGTTCATTGGATCGCAGTCAGCAATCACAGAATGTTGTAGATCGATCTTATTTTGAATCAGATAACGCTAAGTGCAGCTTCAATCGGCGTGAAGTTGACAGCTCTGCCAGTGACGAAGATCGTAATATCGTCACTGATAGCGATAGCACGAGTGCGAAAATTGTGTCAAGAACCAATGAATTGTTTGGTTACATAAGCAATACTTCAGTCGAACGCCCTCTTGAAGATTCAGGCCGCAAAAATTTAAATGAAATTTTCAAAAAAGTAATGCATAATAACTCTAACTCACCACGACCCGTTCCGTTGCCTAGAAGCTCGATAAGTTCTTTGGTCTCTGGTGAAAAAGCGGTCGAAGAAGAAAACGACGCCTCACAGAGAATTGGCTCTCAGAAAACTACCACTGACATTCGAAGGGAGACTGCGGAGCTACAGATGAGATGCAATCTAGATAAATCGCATCATACAATTTCCTTGACAAGCCAACAACATCGAGCTGGGCCTAATGTTATCGTCACTCGTTATAAAGTGCCTTCAATTCCCTATAAGGAACAGTGGGAGTGGACTCGTAAATACCACCTCAATGGCCTTTCGCTAGAGGCACAAAATTTTGAAACCTCCAAGCCTAATCGAAATTTTTACGTGTTCAATGGGAGCAATCAGCCTGCTAAACTGGAATCTTCATCTCAAACTTCTCATAATAACTCATCGTCTGAAGATTCCACAATTTTGTGTGCAAGTAATCATGTTTTCGAGAGCTCGGCTCAATCTCCGTCTCCATCGTCGGGCTACGATTCCAGCGCCCATGCTGGATCACCCTCCCCTATGCCGTCACCAGATTATAATTTCATGCAAACCGGACCTTACGAATCGGAAACCAGCCAGAACTTTTTTTCCTCACCTCCTCGGGTGTGCAGCGTCAAAGACAAGTCTCGGGACAAAACTTCAACTCCCTGTATTGAAAATTACACAATCTCGCCATCCGTTCGTCGAAAGGCCTCCCGCGGGGACTCTTTCAGTTCGGACTACATGATCAGTCCAACTCTCGATAACGACGACTGGAGCGAAATTACTGTCACCCCTGCCTGCAAATCTGCCGATCAAGGTAAGCAAACAAAATTGTGTTGTTCGCAAGAGGGTCGTTGAATGTGAAGACACGTAATGCTTGACTGTCCCTTTATGAACGTTATCAATCTGAGTAAAGGTATTATTTTAAGCTTTATTGAAATTGATTAGCTAATACCAACCGCTCGCACATGTAGACATCGATGCAGCCCGCGTTCCTTGGGCCTATGGCTCTCTTATTAGACAAAACTTGTGAACGCCGCGTGCGCGATTCATACTTGAATTCAAGTCGATAGAGAGCGAAATGTTTGGTATTTTGTTCCTCTATTCTGTTCCTCTGCTTGAGCGTGCTGGGCTTAGAAGATCTTTCGCTACTTATTTGTTAGTAATTTGATTTGATGAAAGGAATTTTTAGATAATTTTCCAGTGCATTCATCTTCTGGACATTTATTCTCTGAGCAAAAATTTTTTATCGAATCGTCAGAAAAATTGTTTTCTCGCTGAGATTAATAAGCTATTCAATGACAAAGATTTTATTTCGTGGCCCATTTCAGATTGTTCAAGTACGTCATCATCGTCAGGCTGCTACTCTGGTGCTTCATCCCCCACACCCTTGGCCTCAGGCGCCTCAGTGCCTTCACACAGACGCGTGGCAACCCACAGGCAACTGCCCACTGCGCTCTAAACGCGACGTAAGTCATCAACATCTCACCACTCTCGTAGGAATGTATCAAGAATTGACACTTTCTTACACACAGTACGAGTAGGGAGTGCACGTAGCACCAATACGCCCGTTTACTGAGCCAAGTGGGTAAGAATGACGCACATATGAGCGAAAAGTGCGTCCCTATTTGTACAATAAGCTACGTGGAAGTCTCTATACACGCGTAAATCTTCGAGTATAGTCGCTCTAGAGTTATTGCATTGCGAGTGGGGGCAGAGAATTAATTTTCTTTTGTGCTTTCCTCTTTCTAATTGATCTCAAAATTAAATGTGTGTAATTATATTTTTCGATTGAATTATCTAGTTTCAAACTTAATTTTTCAACCAATGATTTCGATAAAAACGAATTCGTGCCTACAATTAATGTTTAAGTATTAAGTATATATTTATAAATAAGTATTAAGTATTATATTTAAGTATTAGGTATCCTGATTCTGTTTATTTCTTTGCTTCTGTTAAGTTGAATGTGAAATAATGTCTACTTGTGAAATGTGAAAATACTACGAGTACCCCACCAAATACTACAGTACACCACAAAATACACCAAATACTACGAGTACCCCACCAAATACTACAGTACAAAACCAAATACTACAGTACACCACCAAATACACCAAATACTACGAGTACCCCACCAAATACTANACCAAATGCTACAGTACCCCAACAAATACTACAGTACACCACCAAATGCACCAAATACGACGAGTATGACTCAAGTTATTAGTCACTAAAGCATTTCATTTATAAGTGCATGAATTACACGCATGGTCCACCTTGCGGAAACTAACAAGGCTTACTCGGCTGAACTAACGTATTCAGTCCACTCTCATTGATAACGATGAAAAAAATTAAACTTAACTATCATTATTAGCAGCTTCTTGCGAGACTGGCACTTTGAATAATTTTTCACCTGCAGAAATACGTCAGATTACAAAACACGCAAGTGTAGCCAAGTGAGGCACGCGTTCTGTCGCGCTACTGCCAATAATAGCGTATGTTTCTTTTGGCACCCTTGGGCTTACGCACCTGCGTTACCTCGTGGCTCGCGTCAATATACCTGCGACAATTTCATATTATTTCGACTACTTTCTGTGATGTATGTTGCTAGGATAACCTTTGGCGCTAGATTACAGAACGTCATTTGGGTTGCGTGCACTGCATAAACACAACATGGTTTCAACATAATAAGCTATTTAAAACATTTTCTCAACTCCCTCGAACTGAATTTAAAATTTAACAAACAGACTTTCGGCCGCTTACCTTCTGCCACTTGCTTCCGACACTCGTAAGTTGTTGAGCAAGAGACGCCCATCTTGAGGTGTTCATTTGGCCACTCTAGACGTGATGTATCCTAGATACCGATACCCCAAGACCAAGCTAAGAGGCCGGCATTCAACATCCGCTTTGCGACAAGACCGCGACTCTTGAACCTCTCATCCTGCGATAAGGTCTCTTAACGCCAATAATATTCCTCTAACCTAGGATTTTTGAACCTCTAATCCCGTGGGTTCGAGACCTCAAATCGCGATGGATTAATATTAACATGAAGCAAGAGCGTCGAAGATTTACATGCACCGCCATCACAAACGTCATAGGGGCAGTTGTATGCCTACGCTGCTATCGTGGGTGCCGCAGCAGCAGCAGCAGCTGCAGCAGACGTGCGCAACCGCAGCGGCCCATACGGCAGAAATAGTCGCTCTGGAGCGCTGCCGTCACACGCTGTGTGCAGTCGGTGCTCCGACGAGTCTCGAGTGCTCTGCTTCATAATTCATAAATGAATTGAGCTGCGACAAGTTTATGAGTGCACATACGTAAATTTAGTTCACTGTGGTTAAAATTCGTGTATGCAGTGACGGTTAAAATGCTTCACATTATTCAACAGGAAATGATGAAGCAGCTTAGCGGTGAACTGTAAAATGTTTCAGGTGTTGGGCATGTTTCATGTTTCGAATGTTTCCGAGTTGTACTTGGCGGTTATTCAGTAGCTAACCGTCGGTTTGTGTGCACTTAGTGATGTAATAATGCACGTTGCAGCTCCTTGCGATGCTTTGTTAACAACAACCTTAAATGCGTCCGATATTCTTGTGTATCGTCCTTGTCGAGCTTTGATGTTTTGTTTTAGGGAAAATGACACAATCAGCGAAAAATTGTAGCAGCGCAGCTCTTCTCATTACGGATATGAAGCACCACTGATTTATATTCGTATTAGCCACGTAACAACGGAGCCGCGATTCGTTGTTTGTATCCCATTCTGTGTTGCGAATTGTCCGAATTCTAAAAAAAAATTAGTTTTGTTGTTTGTCATTACAGTCAATATCGTTCACCATGTCAATGTATAACCCCAAAATCCAAGGTTGACTTTTGCGAAAGAGTTCATAACCTCCGAACCCACCCTTCCTGCCGAAGCTTCCTATCCGCTGACCTCTGACTGCAAGGCTTACAGCCTTTCGTACAGCAGCACTGGAGTACCCGCCTGATAAAGAACCTGCAAACTATTTTTTGAGGTTCATACATGTACAGATACATCCGAAGAAAAAAACATTTGTAACAATTGAAACGACTTTAAAAAAAATGTTTGCTCGAATCCCAAGTCTATCCTGTCCGACCTCTTTCAAAGCATCGCGTTTAACATGTAGATTTTCTGTATTCATAATTTCTAAGAACTGGATTATTTGATATTGGATATGTTTTCTCATATTTTGATGTACTTATCATCTATTTCACCCTTCATTTTTTAAATTCGTGAGAAGCAATGCACGTGTTTCATTCGTAAACACTCAGCAATCTTTATCTTGGATCGTCGTTGAAATAACAAATGTTAATGCTCTCTCACAGCCTGCACGGAGCAACGTGGTCGGGACGGCAGCTCCAGGTGAACTTCGAGCTAACATCCACCCTACTCGTCTGGACCTCTCAGAAACCAGAATTGTTTTAAAACTTCGCATTTTTGTCCTCTTCATTTATATAATGTTCACTTTCTTTGTTATCACTGTGTGTATAGATGTTTTGCTAAATTCCCGTCAAATTTTTGCCGTTCATAGTGCGCATCCTCTAACTTATAGAGATGGTGCCACTCCAGTAACTAGAATTGGTATCATGGTTTCCTTGTTGCTTTTATCAGTAGTTTATTAGGTTTGGTCTACTTTCTTTCATTATATATCAAAGATGTATAATCACCTTGCTCCTTGACAATTTTTGGACATGTTAACCTTATTTACAACATATGTTGACTGCATTGAATATTCGCCTGCGTATAAAAAATTAGGAAATTCATAAAAAAAGTTGCGTATAAAATTTCCTGTTCGAGATTATATTTCTCATGCAATTCCATTCAATTAATTATAACAACCGCGGCGCATCTGTTGTTTAAATTTCAGTGTCGATACGGAGGTGACAAATGCGTAAAAATGGCGAATGATTTTATGAAATAAATTTTTAAACAGTTGAAAATGCATTTGAATATTAATGCAGTATTATAGGGAGTGGATGATGACCAAGGATTTATAGTGCTAATGTGGCTTTTAATACAACTATGTTATTTACCATATTAAATATTGAAACTGCTTCATAGCAAAGGCTCCATTCTAATATAAACTTATTCATTAAATTATGAAGTTAATTCATAAGAAATAAACTCGCGCTGTCTTCTTAAACGTATCTGAAACGAACGTAACTTCGTTTGCAATGACATTGGAAACGAATTTGAAATTTCAGCTAGTTACATTGCAAATGTATTTTATTAGATGTGATGATTTTATAATTAATCTAGTAGTTACAGCCGTGCTTTAGCACCTACTTATGTATCGTTGTTATATTATAGCATGTGACTGCGCGCGTGGTGCAGAGTTCCATATTGTCGTTTGTTGCCCCGCTAATAGCGTTCACTGACTTGTACACCAAGAGCATATTGGGACTGACTGTTACATGTCACCATCTCCGGACCAATTATTATCTGCGTCTTTCGCATACTTAGCGAAACCACGATTTTTTAGCAAATATTTTTGCAGTGAAATTATCAGCTTGTTAACCACAAGCGGTCGGCAGCCGCCATGTTTCGCACGTCAAAAGGTAGGATATATCGGTCCTCGTATATGGTGCTCGTTGATCTGATCTGAATTTTTAAATGAATTGTGTCAGATAATTATTAGATTAGCAAAATTTTTAATATTTTCAAATATAGTTTATTTGAATCAGGTATCTTCCGGTTGAAGATGATCAAATGCTACGACTTCATTATAGTTTTGGAACTCATTTTTTACGTTACCTATTATCTTTTCCACCACTCTGGCTTTTCATGAATTTGAAAAATATCGATCTCAGACATGTTCTACTTGAAAATAATAATAAATAAGTTTTCCTGGGGCCACATTTAAACTTGAAATGACTTATTTTTGTGTGTTTGATCTGCAGTGGGTCGTGCATTAGAATTTAATTCAATGTAATGACGAATATGTACGCTTGATGATTCCTATTACCGCTCTTTTATACTGAGCCTGTAGTGGTAGTGAGGCACTCGCCTGTAGTACGTAAGCTACCTTTAAGGCCATCGATCGTTTTTCGCTAGAATTAGTATTATGCAGCACAGATTTTACAGAGAATACGTACGGCGTCTCTATTTAATTGTTTTGAAAAATGTTCAATATTCTATTGACTGTTTTAAAGCTGCGATTGTCTTCCCAAATGAATGCCAATGATTTAATTCTCGCAAAATCTGGTATTCCTTTCGATTCAGTGGATTTAACCGTGGATTGTGGTAGTCGATTACGCACTGTGGGTAACGCTAGGTCTCATTACTCGTTTGCTGTTATGCAAGTTAAGTTCTATTATACTTATTATGTTCTCTTATCCATTTGTTCTCTAGTCTTTGATTACACTTGACTGTTATTCTTTTTAGCTAGTGACTAGAAAATATATTATACTCTTGGATATTTCTTTTTATCACTTAATATATTTCTTTCTGCATGCTGCTAATTCTATTTTTTGTACCGACACTTGTAACACTTGCTACCTTGACACATATATGCTATTCTATAATGTAATAGCTATAGAAGCAAGCAATTCTGTACACTCATCACCAGAGAAAGCTATGGCATTTTTTCCTTTGTTGCCCTATAATTATTGTTCTTCATTGTAGGAAGAGCGATATGCGTTCGAAAACTGAAAGTCTCGGGTTACTTTTATTCGTGTCCATAGAAATGTTAATTCTTTGCATAATTTTTAGTACTTTTCAGGACTAGAAAGGATAAATGATAACAAAAGTTTAACAAAACCTCAAATAAATTATGAGTAAATGATATCAAAAACTCGTAGGATTGCTTACGATGAACGTGTCGAATTGATTAATATCGAAGTATAACTTCCACTGTTGAATAAAATTTGAATAACGTATGGTCAGTTATTCAGTTAGTGACCTGAGATGTGATCACAATGCCTGCTGCAGGCTCGACGTGCTCTGCTAATATGATTCGCCTTTATTTTTCTTGGACGTGTAAGAGTCCGGGGAGCCTACAGGTGATGGTGTATCTTGGAAGCCTTCACGTTGAAAAATTTATTCAATAATAAGCTTTTTGTTTACCTATAATAAATATCGTTGAGATAGTAATATAAATGGAATAAAATGTCCTTTTTTTTATTCCTATAGAAGTGCAATGCTAGGCCGAGTGAGAATGAGCTATGCAAATCTAACTTGAAATAGCTCCCATTACTTAATTATTTTAATCGGTGAACGCATATTGTAGAATAGAGAGAAAGCTTTTATGACGGTGATATTTCTAATTGCAAGCTTTGTTGGCATGGTATTTATAACATACTAACGTTTGTTGAAGCTGATAAATGTGTTGTGTATTGAGGTAATAATATTAAATTTACAAAAAAAAAATCTCTAACAAATAGTCTTCTGGCCCTTGAAACATGCCCATTCTGAGTCGGAATTTCGTCATCCGCCTTCTCTTCTTCGTCATTTCGGAAATCTTTTTAGTGCAGGTAAGAGGAGTCTTAAATACCAAGTACTATAATAGTAACAAGGTTGTAGCGGCTATTATATATTAAATATGGCAATTGTACCTATAAATTTTCCCCATCTTATTTATCCACTTCAGAAAAAAGGCTTACCCATGTTTGGTTTACGCCTTTCCATTGATGAATGTCGAATGCCGTAATCGTATGTGTTCGCTTCTGATTTCATCGAGACACAATCCATTTGACTAAGTACTGAATTGCCAACACTAATTCAGATCCTAGCATTTTTTGAGGATGATAAACGATTTTTTTATCTTTAGTTGTAATACAACCTACAAATTTGTCATCTACAACTCGTTATTGAAACTCGTTATTAATCCTAAAGTCAAAAAAGGAATACTGACAATCGTTTGCGCTGGTCTTATTTCCATTGTTGGCAGGTAAATTAAAAGAAACTATTTTAATCGAGCAGCGCTGGTTATTAACTTATTGAGTTTATTGCAATAAAACAAACAGGCGCTGATGTTCCCGCCGCTGCCTGGCCCCGACTGCAGCGACAACGGCGACTGCGACACAGGCTGCTGCCTCCTGCTGGGGCTGCACCACCGCACACCTCAGGGCGTGTGCCAACCTCTGCCTGCTATAGGTGGGGCGTCGTGCCATAGTGGGTCGTGGGTGATGGATGAGTGGTGGGTCGTGGGGTCGTGGGTGTTGGATGAGTGGTAGGTCGTTGTGGGTGTTGGATGAGTGGTGGGTCTAGGCAAGTCCCGAGAACCGGACTTCAGATAATTATATTTCTATTTTCAAGCGAAAGTTCGACATAACTCACGTGAACTACTCTACCTATGAGTGCTATTCAACTTGCTGTTGCCATTCCATTTTACTGCTCATATTTACTCGGTAACTGACGCAGGCGACTACTGCGCCACCGGTGAGCGGCTGCGGGACTACGGCGGCTGGCGGGTGTTCACGCACAGCTGCCCCTGCAGAGCTGGCCTCGAGTGCGTGCCCGAGTGGTCCAGGAGATTTGTTGCTGTGGGTTGCACTTTTGTACATACGTGATACGATTATTTAACCACAAAGAATAAATTAGCGTCTCTTTCTTCTGTTTGAACGGAAGTTCTATCCTGATAGAAATGAATAGCCGTGGATTATTACTTACTTTCGGTTGATTTTTCAGCCTTTCAGTTAGCAGTTCTGTTCGTGCGAGGACAAAAGCCTGTAAATATTTCCATTCCATGACCACGAACAATGATCCCCATTTGATTCGCTTAGTTAGCAGTTATTTATTATTGTTATTGGATTATGGTGGAGATTATCATTGTTATTGGTTGTATCCTGTCACTCTCCCGCCCACAGCTGAGCGTGTCACAGGACCCCCAGTGCATGCCTGCCAACCTGTCCGTGCTGGAGCTTCACACCCGAGGCTTCACTCGTCCCCCCGTCCTCCCCCCTGACAGATCCCGCGTCCCCATCCCGCGCTTTTGGCCAGAGTTGCTGACACCGCGACCGCTGTAGCAAGGATTGACAGACCCTGTGGCCTTTTTCCGGCCAATTTTATAGACCTAGACCTTTTCTAAATTGACCAGAGTTGCTTAGTTCGAGGCCATCATAGCTAGGGTTGCCAGAATTTAGTTTTTTTACAAACTTGCCGATTTGGGCCTTTTTTAAAACTAAATAAGTCAATAAATGTAAGTATTTGCAACGCAAATTACAAATTTACTTATAATATCAAATTGATGTCATTTTTGTAATTGTTTGTGAAATGATGCAGCATTTCTCTTCTCACCATCTGGCAGCACTCGTGGTAGCATCGCTGCTCACAATTGTCTAACTCGAGTCGAGCAAAGTAAAACTCTAGTAAAACTAAAATGAATTATTTATAATGCATAATTAACTGGACATTAAATTAGTTTTCCTTGGATATTTCTGCTAAGCCATCATTAAGACAATAAGGAATTGCTGTTGCATTTGACATGTTGTGCGTTACATGTCGCTCTCTTGCTTCTAATTAACGCTCTCTCATCCACAGAAATAATAACTAGTAATTAATATAATCAAGAACAGCTGGCCTGCTTTCACTATCGCGTTATGAAGTTCAGTTTCGTATTGATCGTTTCCTTATTTCATTTATTACAACATAACATCATAGTAATCATTTGCCAAGGATAGATTACACTACAGGAGATCATTTTCAATTTTGTACTTGATACTTACCTGTAAATGTCAATATTAAGTTAGTATTAGTTTTAAATGTTACACAGTAACTTTAATAAAATTACTCAAAAATATGTTTATGGCTAACTTATTCTTTTAAGTGTTGCACGAATCTGATACACGTGTACGTAATCGTACTGGTTGGACTGCTCACGTTACATAATTTGGACCTGCCGACATGTGTCGTCCATCTGAAAGTAGGAAACCGTACAATATCTCAGGGTAGGAAAAACTATTAATTTCCCCTTAGGCAAATCGAAGGTTTTCATGCATAGGTTAATTAGATTTCGAAATCTTGACACTTCGAATAGGACGATTGCTTTTAATATATCTTGCATTACGCTGCTAGTCTCCACGCCGATCTTTCATTTGAGTTCCTTCATACGATTTTAGAGTTACTTCATACATATTTAGGGTTAATTGGTTACTAACTTTAGCGTAAAGTTTTTAACGCACTTCCTCCGATCACGCTTGCTATGGTCTCAATTTACGTTACAGCGCAAAGATAATGTCTAAAAAATGAGGTTAGTACAAGAACGCATCCAGAGCCGTCTACTTACTCAATATAAGGCACTCAATATGTATTAGCATTGTGAACCTTCATTTCAATCCAACAGTTAAGACTTGAGCGGCAACTATGCATGGTAACTTGGTATTCCCACTCAAAAAGGCACCCCACATCGCCTAGTTTGTGATGGTAGCCACGTTATCATGCCTTCACCAATCACTAACCATACGACAATCGCCACATACATATTTCACAGTGGGAACTGAAAATTTTGTGACCCGGACATGAAAATTTACTTTTCTTCGACTGTCTATAGTAGTATGAGTAATTGCTTGATGATATTGCATCACATGAAAATCGAGTTATTACCCTTTTCAATTACAAATTGAGATTTACATAACACAAAATATTCTAACCCTAATCACCATACTAAATGTTGAATTCATCCAACGCAATTCGAGTCATAAATAGGAAAAATTTATAAAATGTTCTAAGTGTAAATAACATACAATTCGTCATATTTTCTTGTGCTATAGTCTGGCATTCATTATTGTGGAACACTGGGCGAAATATAATAATAATAATATTGGTGAAATAATTTAAGAATATTATTTGCAACGGTAGAGGCATGCGTCGTTCCTCTCACCTGAACACACTTCGTCTTTCATTCCGACATTCCCGGTGCTAAAATCAGATCACGTTCTCACACACTCGAAAGATGAGCTTCCTAACCCACTTCAACTTCATACTCGTTTGTGTTGTGAAATACTCGTAATTTAAAGTAATTATACGTGAAATAAACACGGATAAGCTCATGAACAACTTAATTCAGAGCATCATAATTGTGACAGGTCGGACCTACAGACCGAACCTATCTATCCCACGAGCTCTGAATCTTGTTGCATGTATCTAATCTTCCGCTTTAGTTTACTGAATTACGTCTTACAAACGTACCTGCAGTAATAAATAACTTTCATATTACGTTAAAATTTCGTCGTCTTGGCACTTAAAAAACTACTCGTGCTTTACCTACTCGTGCTAGATCAATAGCAGCTAAAAACTGCATTGCTACATGCATTCTATTCATTCAAACCCGACTTCAGCTGCGTACTTTACTGTTATTTTAGAGCAATTCATTCAAACCCGACCTCAGCTGCGTACTTTACTGTTGTTTTAGAGCTGTTCATTCAAACCCGACCTCAGCTGCGTACTTTACTGTTATTTTAGAGCAAATTCAAATCCGACCTCAGCTGCGTACTTTACTGTTATTTTAGAGCAAATTCAAATCCGACCTCAGCTGCGTACTTTACTGTTATTTTAGAGAAATTCATTCAAACCCGACTTCAACTGTGTACGTCACTGTTGTTTTAAAGCTGTTCTTGACATTTCTAACACCCTTAGAAACAGCAGGCCGTCATGTGCTGTTCTCGCTGCTGCTCGTACGGCGCTGCGGCGACAGGGCGGTGCCAGACTCCAGGAGACGCGCCTGGTATTTGTCGAGCGTCGCGTGGATGGCGCTGGCCGAGTAGCGGCAAGTCTCGCCTCCACATGTGCACGTGAACTGCTTGTATTTGATCATCCAGAACTTCTCGCCATAGTCAAACCTGCCAACAAAATTTGACGAGATGAAACACAAGACTAAATGTCATGATAATTATTTTTTTTTAGCTGAATTGATAAGTTCTTAATTCAGCTACCCATGAATTTATGAAGTCAGAGTATACAAAAACTGATAAAATGATACCAAGTTACAAGTCATTCTAAACCACAAACGTTGAGAAATATTTTCAAACATTGTAAAATACACAATACGACAAGCCATTTCAAACGAGCAAGTTGAACGAAGATTTCGAAGCAATTAGAGACACAGAACAAGCAACTTAAAGCGAGCACGGACCCTAGTTCCTCCTCAGCCTCGATGTCGCGGGAGGCGTAGAGAGCGATGCGTGGGAAGGCGAGGTCTTGATGGTCCAAGAAGACCTTCACGGGCGTCAGGTTCGGGGCACACAAATGGTTGATGAAGCGAGCAACGTTGCCGTAGTTGCGGGCGTCCAAGCAGAACGTTTCACTATCCTGAGCCACAATAATGAAGGCGAGACGAAAACAATACGATTAGTTGAGAATTGCTGAAGTGTTTTTCTCATATCGAGCCACATGGCAACAAAAAAACAGTTTCTGTATAAAAATGAAATCGGATAGCAGGTCACACAAAACAAAAATCTTGCACCAGATTCGAAGATCTTTTAGGCTTACATTATAAAGAATATACATATATAGATATTAATGCAGGCTTACCCGGTTGTCCAAGTCGAAGAGATACGAGTCGTCCTGCCGCTGGTCCGCCTCCAGATCTGTGATGATCTCGCCCACATACTCACACACATACGAGCCCTGCAACACAACGGTGTACAATCATCAACATTGCCAAGTTTTTAAAAAAAGTAAGACGTTAATTGCTAATTTATAACATATTCTAAAAAAAATACTTCAGAAGCAACTTTCTCTAGATTTTCCTCTATAAAACAATGTCTAAAATGAGATCATAATTTGTCAGGACAAGTGTAAATGATTCACAACACTATATTTATCTCAGGCACAATGTCGACGGCTCTAGTTTATGATTTTTGGCTGTTTTGTATTAAAAATTTTGGAATATTTACTATTGAAATAAATTAAAGAGAGGAACAGGATTTTACCCTGAGCAAGCATTGTTTGTGAGTAACAATGTGCCAGTTTTTAAGCTACTGAACAAGTGACTATAGCTCCTAATAGTTCAATAACAACAATAACAATGGAGTTACCTTAAGAATGCGTTTGAGGGCTCTAACGCCCCATCCTTTATTAGTTGTACGGAAGAGCTGAAGGTGCGCGGTGATGCCGTGCTGCACCACGCGGTTGTTGCAAGACAGTTTGTTGCAGCCACATGCTCGGTTGCATTCAAAAATCATCGGCGGGTCTGCGAACAAAATAACTTTAATGTCAATATATGTCTTAGTTGCATACCTAATACAACCGTCACTTTATTAATCTTATATATATTCGTCAAAGCTTGTGTGTTCGTTTGTGTGTTCGAAGCTTGGAGTAGTATATACATAGGGGGTTTGGTGGCATATTTCACCAATACAGGATATTACCTAGTTTTTTCATTTGATTTTCAAAGTTGAAATAATAAAGCATTTCAATACATGCAAGGAAAAAGATGAATTAGGAAATTAAAATATGATTTTATATTTTGAAAATAAATTTTATATAGTACGGCAATGAAAATTAAATTTATTTCGAATTTCAAATTTAGATCTAAAAGGGACTTCCATGCTAAATGCTGGGTAAGGACGTGGAATTCTTTAAAATAATAACATTCGTTAATTAGGAAACTTTTCAGAATGATATCATTCAGGATCATAGAATGCCGGATATTTAAATTTTTAAATTTCAGATATTATGTAATCCCAGCATTACCCGATCAACCTGTTAGTTTGTGAATATAGACAAATGTTTTCAACAGGTAATTCCATGGAAAATTTTTAGCAAAAACAGGTATTTGATGAAACATTTACCCACGATCAGAAATAGAAATTTGGGAGAACTTGGTTAGCGAGAATCTTTGTAGAAGAACACACTTTGCTCAATCAAAAACATTAGATGAACACACTTTGCTCAAACACAACAAAATAGCATCGTAAAACTAAGAGTTTCAACACAGCGACTTCAACTCGCGCCTCCAGCTCGCTCTGTGGCTTCACAATATTTAGGTACGCGAATTTGGAGGTTATGTGTAATGTTAGTAATGCATCGAGACAAACACCAGCTAGCGGCGTGCAGAACACATATTTCTGGGAAAAACCACATCCATTGAATCAAGAGTTGATATTTGAGCAGCAAGTTATACCCATACATAGCAAATTGAAATCCCCAACCTAAATGACAGAATATTAGAAATTTGCACAAAGTTAAGAAGCCGAGGCAAATCTCAGGACGGTAAAGTAATACAAAGATTTACCGAGGTAGTTGAAGTCTGGCAGCAGACGGCCTTCCGGGTCGTACCAGCACCGGAAGTTGAGCTGCGTGCAGCCGCAGTCTCCTGAGTTGCAGCCGTCAGTGCACTGGCACCACTGGTAAACAAACATGTCGTGCAAATCGTTTAAAACTGCCACTGGCAGTGACACCACTGTTGAAACACAAACATATTGTACAAAAAGTTTAAAACTGCCACTGGCAGTGACACCACTGTTGAAACACAAACATATTGTACAAAAAGTTTAAAACTGCCACTGGCAGTGGCACCACTGTTGAAACGCAAACATATTGCACAAATCATATGAAGACAGGCACCGTCACCTCTGCTTTTGTTAAAAAACAATGCAACATCGGAATTGAGGACACAACAAAGATTAAATTGTTATAACGTACGAGAAAACGGAGAAACGATTTACAAAATTTAACTTAAAAAAGATTCAGTCGAAACCAATCACAAATTTACAATGTGCTTTCTGAATATGACTTCACAACATAATATAATCACTTCATTCTCATCACCAAGAAAGGATGACGAGAGCAGCAATGGATAAAATAATCTTTGATCAAGGAAATGCTAGCCGTACTCTCGAAAACTATTAACATATAAAGTGATGCTTACTGTTACATTCTCATTGGTATGAGAATAAAATAATCTTAAAAATTATCTATTAGAAAGAATTTGAAGCAATGTTGCAAGTTGAGTGGGAAGCAGAGACTTTGATATTACAAAGAAAACAATATCTTTATGAAATAGAAATAAGTAATTAATTCATAAATAATTACTCAATTAAATAAATAATTATTTCGCGCACGCCGGCTTGGAATAAACAAAGGAGGCAATATGACAAGAAGCAAAGTTACCTTAAGAGACGTGATAGAGCGGTCGATGTTGATGTTAGCTGCCTCGGTGTTCTCTGCAATGTAGAGATAATTGCGCGGCAGCGGCTCGTCATCCACGCCATTGATGCACGGGATGGGCACTTGCTCCTTGCCCGCCGCGATGTCGCTGTGGCAGCATATGAATCGTTCACACAGATTATAACAATAACTAACTTAGCTGATATCTAGGTTAGTATGCTTGAAACATTCCTAAAATGGTATGGTATAAACATTCATAGGTTGGTATGCTTGAAACGTACCTATGTTGATATGGTTGAAACATACCTAGGTTGGTACAGTTGAAACATACCTACCTAGGTTAGTATGCATGAAACATACCTCGGTTGATATGGTTGATAGCTTGCACATCCCAAAATTTAATGCTGGCACACATTTAAATAAATTTGTTGTCTATTCTCAAATCGATGCGCTTGTCACATGCAAATCTAGATTTCCTTAGCACACTTCAGATCAGGCATAGACCCAGACCTGGAGAGGACGGTGTTGGAGCGATGGTTCTTGTCATGCATCATCTGACGGAGTTTATGGTTAAGTGTGAGTTGAAGGTACACTTCGCTGTCAGGCAGCGCGCACTCCAGCGGCGTCTGGCCCTTCGAGTTAAGACAGTCGAGCGTCGCACCGCGCGCCAACAGCAGCACGACGGCGTCACGGTGATTCTGCCGGGCCGCTATGTGCCTGCTCAACGGAGAGACATTATGGAACATTCAAGGAGCGCAAGTTGATTGAGGTGGAAAAACAAATTGGAGAGACATTATGGAACATTCAAGGAGTGCGAGTTGATTGAGGTGGAAGAAGAAATTGGAGAGACATTATGGAACATTCAAGGAGCTGTCTCTTATACACATCTAGATGTGTATAAGAGACAGCGGACCGNTGCTGCCAGTTTCACTGTGAACATTGCAGGTCAGTGATAGGGTAATACGTACAGCGGAGTGTCGCGGTAAGCGTTCATGGAGTGCAAGGAACAGCCGCGGTCCAGCAGCATGGCACAGATGCGTGTGCAGCCTGAGAGTGCGGCCCAGTGCAGCGCTGTGTTCTGCTCCACGTCACACAGCTGAGCGTTCGCCCCACGCTCCAGCAGGAACCTGCAAGGCATAACATATGAATATAACCTATACTAAATTCTGCAACACACAAGCAAGAAGACATGAATAGTACAGACATAAAATCCTGCAACACACAAAATACCAAGCACGAATATTACCGACACGAAATATCAACTGATCCAAAACTGAGAAACATCAATATTTAATCTAAACCATCGTTACGAAAATTGTACGTCAAGAGTACTCACAAAATAGAATTATTTTCATGAAAAATAAATTGTCGGCCGTGCAGGTGACCAAAAAGAAAACCTTTAGTTCTGTACTCAACAACCAAAGATCGCTAACGATCTTACCGACCCCTGGCTCTGCTTCCATAGATAATATCTAAGCACAATATTATACCTAAGAATGGTCTGCATCATTATGTTATAACAGCTAGGCACAATGTTACACCTACCACTGGTCCACATCATTAAATAATAACAGCTTGGCACAATATTATACTGGTCTGCATCATTAAACTATAATATCTATGTAGAACATTACACCCACTTGACACCAGTAATGTGTCTGCACTCACAAGACAATAACAGCTCAGCATGATAACAGCTCAGCATGATAACAGCTCAGCATGATAACAGCTAAGCATGATAACAGCTCAGCATGATAACAGCTGAGCATGATAACAGCTCGGCAAGATAACAGCTCGGCAAGATAACAGCTCGGCAAGATAACAGCTCGGCAAGATAACAGCTCGGCATAATAACAGCTCAGCATGATAACAACTGAGAATGATAACAGCCCAGCATAACAACTAAGCCCCACATTAGACGCACTTGACAACAGCGATGTGGCGGTTCTCAGAGCCCCAGACTAGAGGCGTCCAGCCGCCCTCGTCCTGCATGTTGATGGCGTGGCGGGAGAGGCGGCCGCTGTCCAGCAGGTGGCGGCAACCCGTCAGGTTACCCAGCTTGGCCGCCAGGTGCAGGCATGTCATGCCTTCGTTCGTCTGGAATAACATACACCGACATTATTTCTTCCCAACAAATGACGTTGAAACAACGATGATTACGAATTAATTTCGTTAACAACGATCAATCAACGTTATTTCAAACGAAAATGCTTGCTGGGTTCCTTGCTCATCCCATGTCATACTTATAGGGACTTTTCACGTACAGTATGTAGGAAGCATTCATCGACAATTTTATTCAAATCAAGAAATTACCCGTTACATTTATTAAGAGGAGAAATTTACAAATTTACCGCAACCTCCATTTCATTTTCTTTTTTCAATTACAGCTCATACTTACTGATTGCGGAACTACAATATTAAAACGAAAGGATAATTGTCTTTATTTTCGTAAAGGATTTTGAATGAAAATATTTAATATATTGAAATGATTTTTAATCAAAGAAATATTAACATTAAAAACTCATGTTTATGCCAAATGAAGATTTCAATTTCGCTCCTATTTCTTCGTTTTGTTTTGGCGATTCTCCCCGAATCCCAGTTCATCAGAATTATAACATAGAAAACACCTCTGTATCGACATGTGTATGACTCGAGTACAATACCCACAGTAGAGTAGGTACCTTAATTTGCAGCTCAGCGCCGGCAGCGACGAGGTAATGCACGACGTTGTTGTGGTGTTTCTGCACCGCGATCATGAGCGGAGTGAAGAGGCTGGAATCGGTAACATCGAGGGCAGCACCAGCCATGACTAGCACGTGAGCGATGGCCACGTTACCCATGGTGGCCGCCATGTGCAGCCCCGTCTGATTGTGGTCCTTGAGACGCGAGTTCGGGTCCACGCCGCCCGACAGAACTTGCAGGACCTTCTCGAGGTCGCCGTGCTTGGTGGCGTAGTACAGCGACTTCGGGGTGCATCTGGAGAGGGAGGAGAATTAACGAGTTAAAAAATCCCCACATCCGCATGAGAAAATTTATAGTAAACTGTCGCACAGTAGCACAAGTTAAATTCGTAGCACCTTACACACCACTTGTTTAGTAACATTCAATAAATGGCTGTGTGCGGGCATTCCCCAAAAGATGTTGATGTGGCAGAGACTAACTTGATGTTGGGTGGTTTGCCGGCCGAGACGCTGATGATGGCCGCCTCCAGTTTGTCTCTGTCGAGGCTTGGAGCGAGCTTGCCGGCAGAGACGACCTTGCCGCTCTCGCCCAGCGCGAGCTCAGGCCCTGCGTCTTCCAGCGACGCGTCAGGAGACAACTCCCCCTTGCTAGTCCAACTCATACGGGCGCCGCTTCTGAGGATTAAGTGTTACTTAAAATTTAGATAAAAAGAAGTTTTAAGTTGCAATAACTCATCAGTTACATGACTTCTTGACACACGATACACTTCTAGTTAGTTAGACAGTGAATTATATTTTTCAAAAAAGCTACTATAATCTTTTGATGTTACTCGTGATCAAATCAATAGTAGCCGCGTAACATTTGTACATGAACCAGATATCAAATCTGAGTGTTAAGAATGCAAGAACTGACGAGGCCTTCTTCTCCTGATGTTGCTCGAGGTAGACAACAGGTTTCCTGGCGAGCTTGAGGTCGAGCAGCACCTCAGCAGGAGCATCAGATGACCCACAGTGAGGACAGAGCAGAGCGCCGTCAGCTGAGGGTGACGACACGCCACACAGACGATGGTAGTGATGAGTGATGCCCTCTGACCAGCGACACTCCAGGAACACACCCTGACACAGAGATACTTTATGTTACGTAAAATAATAAAGTGAGACCTGACACAGAGTTGCTTCATGTTACGTAAAATAATAAAGAGAGACCTGACACAGAGTTACCTTATGTTACGTTAAGGATGCGAAGTGATAAAAAAACTGACACAGCATTATGTTATGTTATGCAAAACGCTTGAGGGAGGGAAGAGGGAGCCCTGGCAGAGCGTTACTTCATGTTAAGCAAACCTTCAGAGAGGGAATGAAGGAGGCCTGGTGCAGCGCTACATACTTTCAGAAGGGGAAAAAAGACTCCATCAAAACGTTAAATAGCTGCAAAAAGTGAAACGAATATCTGATAGATTTGTTGAATTAACAAGAAACAGAGCAAGGCATTCAACACTTTAAAATGCAAAAATAATAATAGAATTTAACCTCCAAAAAATTACGATACTCGTTAAAAATAACAAATTTAGACACATCACTAGATCCTTGGCAAATTACATGTTACCCTAATTTCCAGGACTAAAAATATTGTAACAAATACTCTATTTTGAGAAATATTGTGCATTCACTTGAGTACAGAAGAGGCCACAGCCCGGACAGCAGTTATGCCTGCGCAGGCGTTGGCGGTGAATGTCGCACAGCAACAGGAAGGGGATCTTGCCGCTCACACGGAGATACCTGCACACAAACACAACACATGAATTTCAGCACACAGCAGCAAGGGCCGCTCACACGCAGATACCTGCACACAAACACAACACATGAATGTCAGCACACAGCAGCAGCAAGGGCCGCTCACACGGAGATACCTGCACACAAACACAACACATGAATGTCAGCACACAGCAGCAGCAAGGTGATCTTGCCACTGACGATGTTACAGTACATACAGAACACCAATATCGCACATAACATCACCCTATGTCGTGCCCGGTACGCCCTATAACTCACGTGTTCTTCTTAACAATGTTGCAGCAGCCGAGCATGCGGCCGTCGAAGGAGTCGATGGCCTGGCAGTAGATGGGCCCACCAGGCAGCGACGCCAGGGGGTTGTGCTGCACCCGACACTTGCACAGCACCTCACGCAGCTCCTCGCACGCCTGCCATCATACAACTCTGGTATAGTGCAACACTATGGTGCAACCTATAGTGCAATCGTGATAGTGCAACCTATGGTGCATTAGCGATAGTGCAACCTATGGAGCGTTTCGTTTAACATAGTATCTTCCTTCATATACAAAAACTGTTGAAAATTGAAATGCAATATCAAAAAAAGTACAGGTTACGAATAATGAAATCGTTGTTTGTGAAATTGTGATGATGAGTTTCATTTGAACACAACTCACCACATCGACACGCTCCTGACTTCCGTCGTTAAGCGGATGATCACCGGCGGCAGGAGCGGCAATGGCCAGCGGTTGTGGCAATTGCGGCGTCGAATGCAGCTTACCGATGCGTCGACTTTTCCGTACGCCTCCTTCGAGGATAACTGAGCCAGTGGCCGCAGCACTTGACACCGACGAGTCTGATAAGTAAGATCCTTGGTGCTCTACACCAGGGGCAGCTCCAGGCGTGATTTGAGCACATGCAGGAGGCGCCGTCGGAGTCTCGACTCCAGACTCATTGCAAGAATTGGTGCGCTGCTCGCCGATTGCTTCCTTTACAACATCAGTTTTTGATCTAGGTGATGCCGGAGAAGAGTGACTGCGAGATAAGACGGACGGTTGGTGTTTAATGTTTAAGGTAGTTTCTTCCTCGGTAGCCTCTCTGGCATTTCTGTCAATTATAGTGCCACTGTCATCTGAATTTGCGATACACTTGGTCTTTGTTGGCAAATCAAAAGTCTTTGGACTTTCCTCGAGCACGTTATTCTCTTCCTGCCGAACCTCAGTATCCAGATTAGCTCCTCCCTGAGGAATATTTGTCTGGAACTTAACCATGTCATTCGCATCGGACTTAAAAGGCGACGAGGTTGCACACTCCGAAGTGCCTTCTTTAGTTTTGAGTGGCGAAGTTTCTACCGAGGACTTGTCAGCATCGAGAGGAGTTGTCATATCCAGTTGCTTTCGCCCTCCACCACAAGCTTTACGTCTCGTCGACCGCATCGCCGTAATAGGAAGATTTTCAGAAGCAGATTCAGAAGCGATGGGGTCGCGTGACCGCAGAGACACAATCTTCGGAGGCGACGCGACAAACGTGTAGGGGTTTTCGGCATCATGTACATCCTGCTTCTTCTCACTCGAACATGAGGAAGACTGTCGGCCTACTTCGTTGTTACGTTTGAGCTTGATTGGCTTCTTCTTCTTATTCATGGCTGCTGTCAATGAATGCAAGTCGATCTTCGGTCTATTTTCCGACTTTTTAATGGCTTCTTCCCGCATGAATTTGACATCTTCGGTTCTGACGAGCGACAAGCTGCGCAAAAAGTCCAAAGTTGGCTGCTTCACTGGGCTTCTAGTAGCGCTTGAAGTGGAATCCATTGAGGCGGGCTCTTGGAGAGACCATCTCCGGTAACCGCTTTCATTGTTCGGTGAAATAGAAACCGATGGTGAATTTATCGTCAGAGATCGAGCGCTAACATCGGTACTGGGCGGGGAAACTTCATCCGAATATCCTTTTTGAGGAGATCCAAATGGAGTGGCTAGAGAAACCGACAAGGTTTCGTCATTTTTACTATCATCAAGAGCAGCAGAAGGCTTAAGAAGTGATAAAGGTGACAATTTCAGAGCCAATGACGGGCTGTTCATTACAACTGAAAGGGAAGCGCTTGGAGAAGACTGAATTAAATTTTCGACTTGGTTCTTTGTCCCCTCATCAACAGACATTGACCGTCGGACGATTGTTACCTGCTTGCTGTTAGCTGGAGAAGCATCCGAAGGAATAGGGTCTGAACATACCTCATTCTCTGTAGCAGCTAAAACGTTATTTTTGTCAATATCAGAAAGAGTCGATGCAAGCAAAGCCTTCTTGGCCTCAGTTGCTGAAAGTTCGGGCGCGACAGGAGTTTTAATGTGGTCACTACTGTCTCTTTCAGTTTGTGCACTGATACCATAAGATTTAGAAGCATCGACAGAGGCATTGTCGATACCTCCCTCGGTTTTAATCGATTTATCATCAGTTCTTTCCGAGCCAGGTTCATCGTCAGCCACAATAGAGGAGGATGAAGCTTCACTTGCAGCCTCAGCAGCTTTCCTGGCTTCCCTAGCCTGCTTCCTCTTTCGCTCAGCGCTGGACGAAAACGAATACTTGAGGCCGCGAAAGTATTTCTTCTTTCTTTTGGTAGCCACAGCGGCAGGCTTGACACTAGAATCAAATAAGGAGCTCTCCTCCATTTCAGCAGCGCTTGCTTTCAAGTCTCGTTCTAATTCTGCTTCGACAGAGGAATTTCTGAGAACTAAGCCATCGCCCACAGCAGTGATTTCCGAAGAGTGGAGAGAAACGTCATTTTCATGTTTCGCCTCGACTATTTCGTGTGTGATTTCTTCTTTTCCAACTTCAATAGGATTTTGAGGCACATCTTCGATACTGTTCTCCCTTGAGGCAAACTTCTTCCTAGCAAGGCGGGAGGTCTCGAGGAGTTTGGTACCCGACATCACATTGACCGGAGTGGAGCTTCGGCTTCGTCGTGTGCAGACCATGTCATCTTCTTCAAGTGCTGATGTGTGGGACTTCCGTTTACGACCTCTCAAAGAAATCGCTTCATCCGTAACGTCTATGGTCTTCACTTGAGATTTTCTAGCCACGTTCTTCATCTTTTCGGTTACGTTCTTCTCATTGTGAACTTCACTCTCGTTGTCAACCACGTTCTTCTGATCATCAGCCAAGTCACAAGACGATGAATTAGTAACCTGTTTGGCGGCAACCCGCTTACGATTAAACTTTACGGTCTTTTCAGCGAATTCCGGAGCAGCAATTGTCTTTGCAATTATGGGCTGCGTTATATCAGGCAATTCGTCCCCAGTCATATCGGTAGACGAACTTTCTCCTTTCGAACTATCAAATAGATCTTTGTTTTCTAAATCTTTACCATCTTCGAGTTTTATGGGTTCAACACTGGTGCCTTTATCGAGCTTAGCTCGCGCTTGCCTGCGACGAGAAATCCAAGAAACGTTCTTTTCATTTTCTGAAGATCTAACAAGGCGGCCTTCGTGTAATTTGCTAGTAGATGTTCTAGGGGTGAAATCTGGATTGAAATCATCTGACGAAGGCGACGCATCTCTCTCCGATATTGAACTTTGTTCGCTTACAGGGGTTATATAAGGAAGCGATAGTCTCGTAGGGCGACTTCGTGACTTCAAGCGACTGGATAAAGTTGTTTGGACGTCCTCATTGTGGGAGTTTCCATAGAGTATCAAATCAATGGCTTTTCCCCTGCCACGACCGCGACCTCGACCAACACGAGCTGGAAGCAATACTATTTTCTTCATTTCCACTGAGGGAGCAATGTCTGATTCCGATTCAGCTGGAGTACCAATGGATGAATTGGCGCTTTCGTCCATGGCCGCTGACACTTTTCTGGACTTAACTTTAGATTTTTTCTTAAGGCCTGAATTTTCATCAGTTTTGTTGGACTCTGCTTCAGAGGCTTCAGACAGACTCGTTGTCTCTTCACTGGAATCTTTCTCACTTCCGGATCGACGGTCGCCTCGTCTAACTCTCTTCAAGGCCGGCGAGGTAGCTATCGCGATACTCGTCACCGCAGTCGCCGACAAACTTTGGGTTGGCAAGGACAAGTCGGAGGAGGTGGACGCAATAAGACTGTTCCCTGACGATGATGTCAGAGACTTCAAGCTGCGAAGAGACGGGGTCGTAGACTTGGAAGTTAGACCAGTGAAGGATGGGGACGGGAGGGAGAGGAAGGCAGGTGAGGTGACGATAATGGACGTGGGGGATGTCATACTAGGAGGGCTTGTAATAGGCTCTTTTCGGACGCGTTTCAGAGCGTGTGTGATAGGGTTAGTTTTAAGCAAAGCATACTTAGAGTTACCGTCTTTGCTAGTGGAAGCATCTCCGCTCTCGGCTAGTTCCATGAGCATCAACTCTAGCCTGCGCTTCTTAGACTTGCGCGTCGTGGCTTTTTTCTCTTTGGCTGCCAACGTCTCGCAAATCAACTCTTTCGCTTTCTCCACGTCAGCAGAAGAATTAAAATTAAGAGACATCAACTCTAACACTTTTTTCTTATCTTCTTTGCCAGCCATCTCGTCAATTTGGTCAGCCAGAGCCTTGCGAGTTTCTGTTCCAGCTAATATTGCAGAGGTTTGATCTAGATCCGAATTAGATGTGACAGAAGAGCATTCTTCTTGGCTTTCCAAAGCGTCTTTCTGAGGCATAATATCTGAAGCAATATTCAATATATCCAACACAGCTCCACTACTGTCCGTTGAAACATCATCTTCCTCCTCCTCGATATCTTCTTTCTTGAAAACTTGACTTGTCTCGGCGATTTCAAGATCTCTTCTAGTGTCAGTTGATGCTTCTCCTTCGGACACAAACTGTCTCTCCAGCACTAAGACTGGCTGAGTTATACAAACCTCGAACGTTGAACGCTCTTTGTCTGTCTCATGGGGATCGGGGGACTCGGCTTCGGATACATAAGTGTCCTTAGTGTCAAGAATGTCATCAGAAACTTCAGCTGGAGCTGACAAAATAGTTTCCTCGACTGGAGTGGCGATGGCAGGATGGTTGTAGATACTGGACCTTGTCAATCGCACGGGAATATTTCCTCTGCAAAAATAGAATAAAAGGGGCGGTTCAGACTTCAGAATCATTACATTAGAAGCAGTTTGCACAAGCACTACAGAAATATAACTATTCAGGAATGCTCTAAAAATGTCAATAACCAAATTTACGAGCACGGAGCACAAAACCTATCATTCATTTTTCACTGTAAAATCAAACATGGAGCAAACCTTTTACTCGAGCTCCGTGACCTGGTGGTGCGTGTTAGGCTCGCACGGCGTTCAGTCTTGGAGGCATCACCTGATATATAAACTAAAATTACTCTTAGATACAGCAGGCAACCATCATATATCAGCTCTCTGCCACTCGATATTCTAAATGGATCATATTGTACAAAACAAGTTAATAGCCCCGAAAGCACATAGCCCTGAAACAACCCATTTGATGGCCCTATTGGCCTGGGATGACCCATACAAGTGCATCGTTATTAAGACAAAGTTTCACTCATTGTTTTCAGTGTTGCTTTTGCAAGCAACAGATTGATGACATTTATTTCTGAACCCAACACTCTACAGTATTTTCAAACATGTATTAGAATCTCATAGATTCAAATGGCAGATTAGGATGTAATCACAGATTATGATTATATTAATGGCAGATTATGAAGGTCCCACACAGAGATGAATGTCACAAAACAAAGCAAGAGGCAATATCATACTGTAACACTTTGCAATTAGTTTCAGAGTTTAAAATAATTATGGGCTTTGGAGAAAAATTATTAATATCATTAACAATATTTTGAGTCTAATTCAACATACCAAAACATCATTGTATAATTTTTCAACTATAAATAGGCAATGAAATTTAAACAAATAGCTAATGCAGCAAGAACAACAGAATAGAATCAAACTTAATTGTTAGCCACAAATCCAGCATTCTTCTGTCTTGTTAGTGCAGAAATTGAAAATATTCAAGCAAAATTTGATGCAAAATAGCATGAATTAATTTCACACACCTTAGAATAATTCAAAGCAGTGGTGCATAGGAAACAGGATGAGGGTGCTCTACAAACACCATCTGCGATGAGATGCAAATCACAATCAGCAATATAAAGTGTTTCAAGATTCCTGGTGGTACGGAATGCGTGTTAATGCAGCACTGAATAATGTTTGCCTGCCTGGTCACACTTGGTGGAAATACATTGCACTAAATGAGTTATTAAAAGGAAGCATTCAATGCTAAGCTAATATGATAATGCCATCAAACAATAACTGAAGTGATAAGAAACAAACTAGGTGTTAATGAAAAGATTGATCATTAAGTGAGCCTCAAAGCATCAAATTTAGAAGTCAGGTAACAAAACAATCAACAGATAAGGTGATAAACAGAACAACCAATCGACAGATGAGGTGATAAACAGAACAACCAATCAACAGATAAGGTGATAAACAAAATAACCAAACCAATCAACAGATGAGGTGATAAACAGAACAACTAATCAACAGATAAGGCAATGAAATGAACAACCAATCAACAGATGAGTTGATAGGAAACAATAATGAGCAGCTAACAAATGATGTGAAATGAGAGAAATTATCCAAAATTTAACATAAGAAAAGAACTTTATGACAGTTTACTACTTACAATTTCATTTTTTCACCAATGAAAGAGCATTGTAGAGCAAACAAATTATTGTAGTTATCACAGAAGATACCTAGCCGCATCTCTGCCATAAGGTACCATCAAGGGCACCACAGCTTCACAATAGTTGTCTAAAAATATGCAAGGGTCTCTTGCTGAACAATATATTAGGAAATCTGGCCAAAACTCTTCTTTTAGTTATTCACACAAAAGCAAAGCAGCACACAATATTTAAACCAACAAAAACCCCTGGTCAAAGAATGTCAACATAAAAAGCTTTTTTTGCAGAATCTTTGAATGTGGTGCATGGTAAGTGCATAAACTTGTGTATTGCAACAGCATTAAAGTTTCAAAAGAATTCATGAACATTTGAAATGTCCATAATTTCTAAAATGTTTTGTTTTAAAGTAATCAATTGATTTTAAATTATATAAAAGTGCTTTGGCATTTAGTACCTTGCAGTGTGCTACATGACTGAACCAATATGAAAGAAGTGGCATAGTGCAGATGAAGTATTCAAATTTGATTATTCACGTATCTTCCCATTAAAAAATCCAAAGAAACTGTTCAAGGCATTGAACACATAGACATTGAATACATGACCCAAGTAAAATGATTGCTGGTTCTAATTATGACCCCTGCATATACTGCTGCTCAAACCATATATACTTTGACAGACTGTAAAAATGGCTTTTTGATGAATCAATTTTAATACTAAAAATTACATATTGCATTACATGAACTTTAACATGACAGCAAATAAGGTCATTTAATTGTTAAAGTAAAACTTTGTTGAGACACGGACAACTGCAATGAGCTATGGTCTGTATGAACAAGTGTATAGTCTGTACATAGTGTAGCTCAACTAGTAACCATAACAAATATCATCAGCAATCTTTACAGTCTGACTGGTGAGCTCTCATTACACTATCATTGAATGGCAAATTCTCAACTGCTTTCAACTTTTAATCCCTTTATAAATACAAAAAATAATTATAAGACTTGTCCTCTGGGTCACAAAGATGAGATGAATCGCAATAACTTAAATTTAAAAGTTCTCATTGCATACTTCAGAAGCACAGAGTCTTTAATCATAATGCTAACTGCTTGGTGCTCACTCCACATTCAAAGATAAGTGCAAGTGCAAAAAAAGTGGCAAGTTTCACCTTCCCCGCCAGTACCACTGGCCGAACTCATGGTCTCTGACGACAGCTACCACTCAGACGCAGCTCTTCTATTTCTGCTCATGGATTCATAAAACAGCAAATCTTAAGTACAAAAAAAATTAAGCGCAGTAAAATTTGTAATGGAGCATTAAAAGATAATTAGTAATTGGTACCAAAATTTTTTTATCATTTGAATAGAGAGAGTACTTGAAAGCCAATCTCACTGGCCTATGGTCTCACTGATGAGTGTGACATCATGTTTTGTTTATTAAATCATCCAACTATCATACTATCACAAATTTCCTGCTGACTCTACTACATGATGAAAACAGCAGAAAATGTTAGTCAGCACAACTGTAATTATTTAATTATGGCAAAACACCATTTCCCATTGACATTGACAGATTTTCATCTATTCTCTCTATAAAATGCCTATAAACTGCTATGTTCTCCAATTGATCAAAATAGCAGCAATTTCAATATATTAGACAGAAAAATTAGCAAATTACAGGCTAAAGCTTCAAAGTAACCATTGATTAACCAAATTGGAAATTTTGAATACAACTGCTAATGGTGGAAAAAGTTAGAAATGCTTATACCAGAATAGTTATATTGTACAATTTAATTACAAAGGTTTTCCTCTATAGAGCTCATTGAAGGTTTTCCTGTCAAAGAAAATATTCATCAATTTTTCAACTGGTAATTTATAGGCTGAATTGCCAGGGCCCAGGACAGAAACTGGGGTTTGAAGGAAAACATCTACATCATAACCACATAATCTTGCTTATCAAGAAGTTTCTTTTGCTTATACTTGACTGTATTTTTGGAGTTTTGCCACTAAGCTTATGGGTAAAAGTTTCTTTTATCTATTGTGGGTGAAGAAACATAATAAAGAATTTTGAAAAGATTATTTTTTTAGCATACTCTCCAAAATTCAGGGCTCAGTAAAAATGAGCTGAGTATCTAATGCGACTAGCAAAAAAAGACAACAGCAGTTGCCAGTCATTTATAGCACAGCTGCATTTCGCACTTACAGCTATTTCAATCCAATTTATTGATTAAAACACATTTTAATTTGTGAAATTGGACAAATTGGACAGGAGTTTCTCAAAATTGCTGGTGGAAACTATCATTTCACACATACACACAAACATAATGGGTGAAAATAGGTGACATTTCTTATATTTCTCTTAGGCCCTATTCACTACAGGCATGGAATATGTCTACTTGGCGAGCCGTGACTGAATTTTTGTAGCCGTGGTTTTATGGAGTTGCCAGCCGTGATTCCATTTCTTCAAGCCGTGATTTCAATTTTTCGAGCCATGAATTCCATATTTAGGCCATAAAAAGCCATTTAATAGGCACAAATTGACTTTCAAACAGTATGGAATTCTGTATAGGTAATATATTATCATGTTAACAAAAGAAAATGTATCGAAAAATTTACCACCTTACACCGAAGTGACAATTGATACTCTTACACTGAGCTCATCAGAAACTGCGGACACCCGGACAGCTGCACTTCCTTTAACTCGCTTGCGTGTGGTTCGAAAACTGATAAAAAGTTGGAGACTCTTCCTTCCAAGACATACACTAGTCGTGTATCGGTATCGACAAATTTTGTAATGAATATGTTCCAAAATAAAAATAAAAATTACGTAAACTTTCGCAGAAAATTCTCACAATTTCACCAATACCAACAAAGTTCTCGAATCCACACGGAATGATGGGATAAACTGCTAATCTTTCACGGCGTATGGCAATATTGTGTTGACTGTTGACATTAGACAAGACGGTGTCAGACACCTTGTTTTATTCTTGTAAAGTTCAATTTCATAATAAATAGATTTGATCCACATTTCACAGTGACATTTAAATGATGGAAAATTGTTTCAAAATTTAAACACCAATTGATACGCTTCTAAATACGAATTTATTCATGTTTTCGCCCTATAATGTCGAATTTGGTCTTAATAACTTCACTTCAAATCCTGAATGATTTTGTCTCCCATGGCAAGTTTTCGGACGTCTTGTGTCTTTTAGAAAACGTTGGTTGTTTATAAGCAGTAATTATTTTATTTTAATGAACCAAAGAAAGTTTAGTCATCGAAATGACAAAATCATTATTGGAGGGGGTACTCTGACAGGCTTTAAATAATAGCTCTTTTTCGTGGGTCACATTATTAATTTTTTAACCTATTAGATATGCAAACTTTTTAAATCTTTCTATTGTGTTACGTAGCCTCAGCATTAGGCCTTTGATGGATGTTTACAAAATTTTTCTATGTCACATCGCTTTTGAGTTTTGGGGGTTTTTGTTAAAAAAATGAAAAGTGGTCAAAGTTAACCCACCAGTCAAAGTAACCCCATTTTATGGTATATAAATTATATTTTTTAGTATGAATTCAAACTGGCAATAAGCCACCAGAATAGCTTAATCTTGGCTCTTGGGTCACTTTCTAGAACAACATTAATGTCAATTTGGAATATTGGACAGAAGTATTCAAAATTGCTGGTGAAAAATATCATTTCACAGATAGGGTAAACACACCATATTCTGACACTTTAAGGACATAGCAAGAAATGAATGGCTATAAAAATATCACAGTATGCGCAACTCAAGTTCTGATTGCTTTACGCCACTCTCAAAACACCACACTACGTGATAGAAATGATGAAACATCACAGACTGTTGCCATATTTATTTAAAAGCCTTTACAATTGAAAATCAACAAAATTGCTGAATTCTGACACTGTGTGACTAAATTCGGCATATTGTGGGACTAATTCTGACATCACTGAAATGCGCGGTGTAATGTCCATACTCCATAGACTTGCAGACAGAGCGCTTCAAAACCGTAATTCGTAATTCCGACGCCCTGTGCGAGCTGTATTGGAATACAAGACAGCTCGAACGAGCTGTGTGTGTCTAATTCCGAGCTGTGTCAGAATTACTTTTTATGTGTCTAAATCCGTCTCTTAACTTAATCATCTATTAATTTATTTGCCACTTATAATCAGCAAATACAAGTATACTTAAAGGATTCCACATATATTCACAGACTTATTTGAAAGTCTCAAACCATAATATTCTTTTTACACAAACAGTTAATCACTATTTGGTAGAGCAAGGTCAACTATCAACTTTGACACGTTTTTTTGATGTTCTCATTGGGTGACGTGGACTTTAGCTCTGAGGATCTCAACATTTTCCAGCCAAACCTAGTGTTTTGCAAAAATCTGGTGCGCAATAGTATGACATCACTATTTCAACCATGGTGGTTTTTGAGCAAATCCTTGGGCATTTAGCCCCAGCACTCCAGCAGGCACTCCGCAGGCACTGTGGCGCTCCAAAGCAGAAAAAACCTAGATCTAGGTTTTTTGCTTCCCACTGGGTTTCTAGGTTTTTCATTAATAAACTGATCCTAATCTAATTTTTTTCAGAATGGTGCACTGAAAGCAGAAATCAGTCAACAGTTATAGTCAAGAAAGGGAGAACTGCTACGAGACTTACGCGATGGAGCCATTTACAGGAGATATGAAAGTAGATTACTGGATGCAACTACCTATTCAGGAATGATCACGATTCACGAATAAATATTACTTACTAAGTTAGTAAAGTTACTATGCTCATAAAATGACGACTAGCTTAGTCAGTTATCACTTATCATTAATCCACTCGAGGAGAAACTGGAGATCGGAGTAAGAACAGCAC